TGAGATTATAGGTATCTTTTATCTTAGTTCTGTCATGTTATGCTTTTAGCTTTTAAGTGTTCTTTTTTTAGCCTTTTAATTTGTAGTCTGTGGTTTTTGTTTCTTTGCTTATTATTTTATGTGTTCCTTTGATTTCTTGCTCTCTTTATTTGTTAATGTAAAGTACACTTCTCTGTCTCCATTCTCCCACCAAATTTTGGTTGTTTAAATAGTTTTTCTTCTACTTTTGGCCTTCAAACCTTAAATAAAATTGAACCTCTATAATTTGACTTATTTGTTTTAAATGATATATTCTCCATTTCTTAGTTAGCTAAAGTTTGTCCTCTAGTATAGTAGTTTTCAGACTTTTGGTTGTAATCCATCAGTGGGGCTATGCAATCCATTTAGTCATCATGACCAGTGTGTTTTAAGAAAGGAAATAGAAAAGAATGGAATGGAAGAAAAATAACAATGTCTTTTGTAGTAGTAATAAATTTCTTATGAAACTCCTTTTAGTATAGATACAGGTATAGATAATGAATGTATACTGAGTCTCAATGTAAAGTGTAATGTATTATTATTATATGTATAAGTTGTAAAACGATGTTGTATACCATCTTAAAGGGGGGTCATTGGAGCTAGAATCCCTGACTTACTGCATGTCTGAAATATTTATCTGCTGCCTCTCTAATTTAAATTTGCTGGTTATAAATTTCTTACTTCACACTTTCTTTCACTTAGTATGTTTTAATCTTTGTGCTTAGGTCTTCCAGTAGTGTTTGTTTATATGGAGAAGTCTAAGGCCATGATAGACATAACTTGATTTCTTTTCTTGGATGCCCAAATATTCTTTATTTATTTTGAAGGTCATTAGTTTTTCCTAGAAGGTCATTGTGTACTCTTTTGGGTTTTAGATTCAAATCTTCTTTTAAAGTTTGCTTGAATTATGTCTTTGAATTTTTTTGTTTGATTGTATTGTCCTCTTTACAAATATCTATTATGTATGTGCTGTACGTACTTTGTCTCTTTTATAAGGCTATTTTCCTCTTTAATCCTTTTCAATTCTTTATTAATTTCCAGTTATTTTGCTTGCTCACTCAATCTGTTCTCCATGTTTCATGCTGTTTTTTTCAGCAGCGGTGAATTTCGTTGTGCTGCCTTCAAGAAGAACTGTCATTCCTTGGATATTTTCATTTTTCTCTTCCACCTCACTTTTTTTTTTTTCCTTTTTGTCTTTTTTACTGACCGGTAACGGGATCGCAACCCTCGGTGTCGCGTCTGCACCGCGCTCAGCCAGTGAGCGGGAACCGGTCTCCACATGGGATCCGAACCCTCGGCGGGAGCGCCACCGCGCTCTCAAGCGGCGCACTCTCCAGTGCGCCACCGGGCCGGCCCTTCCACCTCACTTTTGACCTCCGTCAATTTATGCTTGAGCATCTTCTGTTGCCTTGCCATGCTCTACTGTCCTCTTAATCTCTATTGTGCACAGGTTGATTTTTCTGCTACATTTTCTTTTAATGTATTGCCTTATATTTTTTCATAGTTTCCATCTTCTCAGTGAGTATTTTCCATCTGTCATGTGTTTATCTTGTTCCTTTCCTTACTTTTTGTTTGTATATTTTATAGATCCTGTACTACTACTTTTTTTATTGTTATTATTCCTATTCCTCACCTTTGAATAAAATGAGTTTTTCCTAGACCATGTAGCTGCAGGATAGTTGTAGCTAGGGCATTGTTTCAGGCTAAAGGGAATAACATGAAAGCACCTTAAGACCCAGAGGAGAATATATGTGTGTGTGTGTGTGTGTATGTGTGTAAGAGAGACATCGAGAATGCATGTTTATCTAGCCTTTCCTCCTTCTTAGCCTACAGAGATGGACAGTTTCAATGCTGCTTGCATTTCTGAATCTTTTCCCAGGGCCTCACCAACGTACATGCTTCAGAAATAGACGTTTCTGTATGATTCCTTATTGACACACCTTAAAGCTCCCCTGCTGATTGGAGAACTGTGCCCTGTCACGATTGCTGAGATCTGCTCCTGTAGGCATCCTCTCTTTGTCTTGCCATGGCCCATTGGATCCAGTAGCATACAGAAGTCCTTCCAGATATTTTGCCATTCAAGGTTTCACTTGACTCCTGATTTCATCAAAAATTGAGCTTACTTATTATTTCTCAGTATCTTTGATGTTTAGGGTGATTTCTAAAAGGATAAGGAAAAGCCCATTATTTTATTATCTTCAGAGCAGAACTCCTCTCTAACTCTTCAGTACTCTTCAACTTTGGCAATTTACATATCAATGATGTACAACAAAATTAGACCTCCTTTAAACATGAGGGATTTGAAGACTTGAGAGTTACTGTCATTGAACTAAGGCCAAACAGTCAGTGAGAATGAACTGACAGAGACTTGAGCCAGAATTCAACACAATGAATGTTGTCTTAGAGATGCAGTGTAAATGAAAGCCCAGTTGTTCTTCTTTGTCCTTGCAAAGGAGCTTTTATTGCTCTCTTGCTTTTAGTAAGATCTAGTTCCATTAAGGGGTCTTTATTGATGAGCTAGAGTTTAAATACTGAACTTAGTTTCAGTCTACGTTAGAGGAACTATAATGAACCAAACCCAAGAGAAGGAGGGGAAGAGAGACAAGATACCAGCACTCGCTGGTCTTATATCCTGCTTGCCCTGAACCTGAGCTTTTATGGCATTGTCTCTTTTAATCTTCACAACCATCCCGATCTGGCATTATTATCCCTTTTTAACACATGAAGAAAATGAGACAGAAGAGCCTGAGTAACTTCTGAAAGTCATCGGTAGGTGTTGATACGCCACCTTCTGTAATCTTGCAACCTTCCTGCCTCCCAGGTTCCTGTATTCACTCAATTAAATATGTCTCAACCACGACCCCAGGGTTCTATAAAGATAAAATCAAAAGATCCACAAAAGAAACTTGTAGACGTTTTGTTTTCATCTTTCAGGCTGGGTGATGCTGCTACATTCCATGTACTAAGGGGCCCTTCTCTGAGCAGCATTCATAATTACACCCAACACTTAACTCGCATGTTTTCAACCGATAGTTTGTAGCCATTAATTAGTTCCTATGAGGTAAGTCATTGTTATCTCAGTTTACAGATGAAGCAGCCGGAATGGAGAGTGGTTAGGTAATTTTTCCAGGATCGACAATGCGCGTCCCAGGAGAGAGCTGACGCTGGGCCTCTCCTTCCCAGGCTTAGCCTACGACATGAGGACCTTGCTAAAATAGTGTTCAGTGACTTCAGCACCCTTTATCACTGCACTGTAAAAGAGATGCTTTATCTCACCTGTGCTGTTATCCACCGTGTGCTATAGAACATGGTAACAGATTTAAAAAGAAAAAAAAAGTCAAAATCAAGGACTTTGTTTTCAAACACAGGAAGCCTGTTTTCAACAGACTATTTCATACTATGAAGCTAAGACCATTTGGTTAGAAGTTGCTGCTAATAACATTTTCTTTATGAAAAAAAATTACATTGAGAGGATTGTAGGAAAAGAACTGGCTTATTTAGGGAGGATTATCGGGTAGTAAAAAGCTAAGTGTGTGTCCATTTGTTCTTTGAGCTGTTTTTAGTTTCTCTAAGAAATAGCTTTTTAACCACACAAAATATGGCTAGCTTAAAAATGTGCGGGAGGGAGATGATCTGAAATTACCCCCAAAAGGTCTTATTTTGGAACACTTGCATTATAATGGAAATAGTCTCAGATTTCATCCAGTGGGGTCTAAGCATTATTGGAGAATTTATTCTATCCTTAAGCATCATTTTAGTATGTAATATCTTACATGTGATGATGTTTTTGGTGTAACAAGTATGCACACCAGGAGAGAAAAAGGAAGTGCACTTAATAGGTAGGTAGATGGCTTAGCACTTTTCTTTTGTGAACGTGAAGCCCATTATCTTCAGTGATAACTTTGTTGACAGCACCCACAAATGTATTTGGAGCCAGGTTTTATAAAGGGATCCAGAATCGTATGACTAAGAGACCCAGCTCATGACATGTGTCAGCCTCAGATCGATGGCACATTTCCTGTTTTAAAGACTCAAACAAAACTTTTCACATTTTTCTTTGGGGAAAAAAAAATTGCATTTGAAGTCCTTTTTCACCCAAACACATTTTGAGATAAGGGCTCACAAGTCTTGACATTATTTCATTTTGTTATGTGCGTCTGTCAAGGAACCAAGATACGATACAGCTACTGAAAACTGATGATTGTGGAACAGAGAAACTTGACAGCATTTCATTACCTTTATGTTCTGATTATACATTTATCAGAAAACCTGTATCTCTTCCAGTTCAGCTAGAAATTGGTAGAATTCAGGAACTCAAAGGCTTGGCAAAGAACTGTCCTATTATTTGGTATCATCTTACATTTTAGAGAAGTTGCTTGGTTGAGTCATTGTTAAAGCTTTTGCTTCTCTTTTCATTATCATGGCCTGCTATCCACAGATCACATTTCTATAGGCCCTGTAACTGCTTTGCCGCACAAATTAAACGCCGGGATGTTTCATACATGTAAGCCAGCATTTCAATGCTTGTCCATCAGAGTTTATAAAATATAGGGATTACAACTTGATATTAACATCCAGATCTATTGTGCTCATTTTATGTGTGAAAATGAGAAACCCTTGTGCAGACACTAGATTTCCTGGCCTTTTTGTCACCCTGTTTTTAATTTATCTCCAGGTTTTGAGTCAGTAAAATGATTTTTGCTTATCAAGTTAATGTAGCAATAAAACATATCTATGAATCAGAGTGATCAGAATGAAAGTGAATCTACAGGTTGTTTGGCCATCAGTCCAGCCCTGCTGAGGGAGGGGTTCAGCAGGACTAATTCCTCCATAGAATATACACATCCCTGTTTTTAATTGTGCCTCAGTAAGTGATGTGATTTGCTTCACATGAAAAAGTGGACATAGAAATGCATTGCCTTGAGGAGGACTTTAGAATTTTTAAACATTTTTTTTTATACTTGCCTCTTTTTTTTTAACAGGTGTACTTCAAAAGGAATTATCCAGATATTGCTCAGAGTAGCAATATGGTTGTGAATACTTCCAATGGACAGCCCTCAACCTTAACTATCTTTGAGACTGCACTATGATTCTACCAAGATGTCAAGTCTATTCCAAAGGCATTTTCTAACAGTTTTTGCACTGTGGAAACTATATTGTACTTTTTTTTTTTACTCTGGCGACAAATATTTAGACATACAAGATGTTAGTTTATTTGGATGTTTTTTTCCGACTTCACCCAATGATTTCAAACTCTAACAAGTGGCTTATTGTTTCTATTTAAATGTTAAAGTTTTTTTAAAAAAATGCAAATCAGAGATGCAGGCCACCAGTAAAATCTGTCTACCAGGTTTTGTGCCTTAAGACACACCAGAGCCAAAGCTCATTTTGTAAAAAGGAATAGGACAAAATTGCTACAGATATTCTTTACGGACCACCAAAATGCTGATTAATTTTTAATTATATCAGGGATTCTATTTACTTGAAGACTGTGTGAAGTTGCCATTTTGTCTCACCATTTTCTTTAACATGTCTAGGATTCTTTTTATTTCCCCCAAAGGCTTCTGGTTAAAAAAATACAGGAAAAACAAAAAATATACTTGAAGTGACATTATAGTAGGGATAGTCGAATCCTTCCCCCCTGCCTCACCCCCCTCCACAAAAGAGAAAAATGGTTAAAATATAGAAGGACAACATTATATGTTCTAAAAGAGAAGGAGAAAAATACATTTTCTCAAAATAGGAGCCCTTTCTAAGAGATTTGATAAGGAAGGACACAAGTGTGACCTTTATGGTCTTTTAGATTTGCATGACTCTGACATGGTAACTGTGTTGCAGTTTTAAACTCAGCTTGGTGATACTTTCCACAAAGACCAAACCTCTAACTGTAATTCCTGAAATATGTAGTTGTATTCCTATTTGGATTTCTGGTTTACTGAGGGTTAAGCCTCTGTTGACTAAGATTTTTGGTTTAGTCTTTATTGAAATCCTTTTTAAATTGCATGCATATTCTCCTGACTTGGTGAGAAAAACTGAAAATCGTTGCAAACATTGACTATAATTATGCAGTACCTTCTCATGAAGCATCCAGAAGGTTCATTTTTCATGAGCCTGTTTAGGTAGTTTACTTCTGACCGCTAATAGCAAGTTTCTTTAAGTCTTTCTGATTAATGAATCAACAAACCACAGTAATTCCTAAGGCCTATTGTACTTTATTTGAACTAGGGGTCTTCAGTTTTTCGTGGTGGTGGTGGCTATGGTATGTTGAGTTCAAGTTACTAAATGTTTTATTGTCATGGTTTAAAATGGACTCTCATGACCTCAGAATAAGATGTAACCACCCTCAAATTGCATATGTTAATATGTATGCACCCACACATGTGCATTTATATATATATATATATTTATGCCTTCATGTAGCAGGTGTTTGGACTCATCAGCAGGTAGAAACAGATGTGTTGTAGAATAAAGCCTTAAAAAGTACACACAAAACAAACTACCAAAACACACTGAGTGCAGTAGCTGTTCAACTCTTTGTATTTAGAAATCTGTGGTTAGTGTTTAGTCCAATAAACCACATGCAGTAAGTTGTTCATTAATAGTAATAGTTTGTATTCCTGGAGTCTGAAATGACAGCAATGATAATAATGAGGTTTGTTAAAACATTGGACGTATTTGAAATGAGTGTATGTTTATTTCGTCTTTAGAGGTTAAAGGCAGTCAGTCATATAGACATGTTTCTGTTTTATTTGTTATAATGTCATCATAGGATTTTTTTAATGAGACAAAATTCAATTGAAATAAATGTGAATTTTCATCTCCATTCAGGTATCTGTATTTTTTTTCTTAGAGGGATTACTGACTCATGTCCTTGCTGATAAAAGCCAGAGAGTTTTCCTGAGATCAAAAAATATATTATCCACTGGTTCTCTTTGTACCCAATATTCGAAGCAAAGATGTGGTTTCAGACAGATTGAGACATTTGCTACTAGAGCCGGTCCAATTGTACCCCTTCTAGGAAGAGAGAGTATTAGATAATGCCCCAGCCTTGAACACCTATCGAAGTGGCCGAGGTTTGGGGTTTTGTTTCTGTTTTCTAAGGTGACTTCATCTGAAACTAACACGAAACATTTATTGCTGCTGCATTTAAAATACTATAGAGTACCAGTTCTCAAAATGTGGTCCCTAGACCAGCAGCATAGTAGCATCACCTGGGAAGTTCTTAGAAATGCTAATTCTTGTGCCTCACCTCAGACTTACTGAATCACCCCTAAATGTGGTTTTGATGCAGGCTAGAGTCTGAGAACCTATACCATAGAACATAAGGAACTCCTAAAACTCGTTAAGAAAAACACAGCCCAATTACAGAAATGGACAAAAGACTTGAAGTAGGTACTTTACAGAAGAGAATATCCAAAATGGCCAATAACTGGAAAAGTGCTCACTCTCATTAGTGACCAGGGAAATGCAAATTAAAACAACAGTGAGATACCACTAAACACACACTAGAATAGCTGAAATTGAAAAGATTGAGAATACCAATCAAGTGCCAATGGAGCAATGGGAACTCCCATGCACTGCTGTATGCATGAAAAGGTATAATGAAAAAACTACTTTGGAAAACAGTTTGACAGCATTTATTCAGGCTGCACACCCTGTGACTCATTAATTCTACTCTAAATGTATACACATGTGCAATAAGAAATGTTTTCAAGGATGTTCCTAGAAACATAATTTATAATAGCCCAAACTGGAAATAACCCAAATGCTCATCAACAGCAGAAGGAAACTCTCCAACAGTGAAAGCAGCATACATGATCAATGCAAAGGAGTCTCACAAACATCGTTCCACAGAAGTCTGGCCCAAAAGAATATTTATGATTCCATTTATACAAAAGTCAAAAATTGTTACAGCTGAACTCTATAGTGTGCAAAGTCAGGACAGTGCTTAATTTGGAGGAGGTGGAAGGTGTTCGTAATTGGGAGGAATACAAGGGGTTCTTTGTGGGTGCTTAATGTTCCCCAATGTTCATTGCAGCACTAAATGTCATAGGAATTTTAATGGGGATTGCATTAAATGGTTTGGAGGTTCCTTAAACAGCTGAAGATAGATCTACCATACGATCCAGCTATCCCACTGCTGGGAATATATCCAAAGGAATGGAAATCATCAAGTCGAAGGTATACTTGTTTCCCAATGTTCATTGCAGCACTCTTCACAATAGCCAAGAGCTGGAATCAGCCCAAATGTCCATCATCGGATGAGTGGATACGGAAAATGTGGTATATCTACACAATGGAATACTACTCAGCTATAAAATCGAATGAAATACTGCCATTTGCAACAACATGGATGGACCTTGAGAGAATTATATTAAGTGAAACAAGTCAGGCACAGAAAGAGAAATACCACATGTTCTCACTTATTGGTGGGAGCTAAAAATAAATGAATAAATTCACACACACACACACACAAACCGGGGGTGTGGGGGAGAAGACATAACAACTACAATTCCTCGAAGTTGATGCGACAAGCAAACAGGATATTGTTGGGAGGGAGGGGGGGGGAGGTTTCGGTGATGGGCCACAATAATCAACCTCATTGTATATCGACAAAATAAAATTAAGAAATAAATAAATAAATAAAAATGGGTTTTTTTTTGTTTTGGTCAGGTGGTGGTTAGATCAGTATTCTATGGGCTCTTCATTTGTTTTCTGCTTTTTTATGTGTCATACTTCTTAATAACTAAAAAGAAAAGTTGTTCTTTGCCTTGTCATTCTTCTGTAATCTCAAATTCAGTGCCACAGTCTTCAAAAGTGAATAATCTGCACGTGGGAAACTATTTCTGCTGAATTTTTAAAATACGAGGCTGTTCATGGGTTGTCTTTTGGCCCATAGCAATTGAAGCATTTTTGATGCTCTTGTATGTGAGAGGCCAAGGTTTATATTTTCTCTAAATAATGAATAAAATAAATCTTGCTTCCTCTCCAATTCCAGGATAAGTACAAAAATAAGGAACTATAAGTTTTTTCTGGATTTTATTTTTTTAAGGTAAGATTGACATATAAATAAAGAATTTTACACATTTAATGCATACACTTTGATGAATTTGGAGATAAGTATACATATATCCGTGAAACTATCACCACAACCTGTCATAAACATATTCACCTCCAAGAATTTCCATCTGCTCTCTTTATTTTTTAATCTCCATTAGTAGGATGAGATACATAAATAAAAGTCAAATGCTAAATGCTTTTGATAGTGCCATAAATGTTGGTGTCTTCGCTTGTGAGGAAACAATTTCAGTCAATTCAATGAAATCATGAATTAGACTTATGTAGTATTGTGGCAATTTGGTGAGTTAACTGTTAACTTAGCTGATGAACTTGTGCCTACGTAAGCCAGTGCAAATCCATGTTTTTCTTTCAGACGTTTGACTGTGAAGACATTAGAAGCCCCTCTTCTCAATCCTGGGTATTTGTTTCATATCTAATTTTGAAAATATAAGTGATGTTCAGAGTCTCATACCCTGCAGTGAGTTAGATTTAGTTCCTGAATGTGTAAATCACTTCTCACAACCGATTCTGTTTTGTAGTGCCTTCAAGATAACATACACCTTTACCTAGAAATCTGTATGGTATTCTGGACACCATATCTCAGAAAAACTTGTAATTCCAGTAATGTGATTCACATGACTAATGGACAAACTTATATTTTACTTAAAGAAAAGAGAGAAAGAAATCTTTGACCTTGAATGAAGAAAACTAAGAAAGTTCAACAATTAAAGCCATCTTAAAAGCCATGTCTGTGGTTAACCCAATTTAGTCACCAAATGGTCTAATTCTCAAATGTTCATTCATAGAAAATTGAAAAAGTGTGTGTCAATAAAAGGAAATTACATCCTACTCCATAAATAGTAGCATTATGATTGAAAAATAAAAGTAGTTTCCTCAAGAATTGCAATAAATTTATGGATTAATTTCCATAAAATGTGGTATATGTGTTTTAATGAGCATGTTGATCCTTATCACACTGAGGTTTTTAACTCAGAGGGTAACTGTGTTCCTACACATTGAGTCCTTGCTTCCACCATTTTATATTCTATTTTGGGATTTAGAAATAAATGTTATAAGTATGCATATGTATTAGTCCATTTCTGTTGCTTATAACAAAATACCCGGAACTGGGTAATTTGTAAGAAAACAAAATTTAGGGCCGGTCCAGTGGCGCACTGCTACAGTGCGCCGCTTGGGAGTGCGGTGGCGCTCCCGCCGAGGGTTCGGATCCCACATACAGACCGGTTCCCTGCTCACTGGCTGAGCGAGGTGCGGGTGCAGCGCCAAGGGTTGCGATCCCGTTGCCGGTCCCAGTCCGGTACGGGCGCGACACTGAGGGTTGCGATCCGTTGCCAGACATGAAAAAAGACAAAAAGGAAAAAAAAAAAAGAAAACAAAATTTATTGCTTACAGATTTGGATGCTGGAAAGTTCAAAGTCCAGGGAACACATCTGGTGAGGGTCATCTTTGGTGGTGGCTTTACAGCAACGTATGGATCTCACATGGCAGAAAATGGTGGAGCAGAGAGAGAGCTGACCTCAGTTGGCTCCTTTTAAAGCCATCAGAACCACAAACCATGACCACCATTAATCTATTAATTTACTACTTAATCCACTGTGGGCATAGTCCTGACAATCCAATCACATCTTCAAGGCTCCATCTTCCAATTACCATAATAGGATTTCCCACCCTCCCAACAGACACGGTGAGGATCAACTTCTAATGCATAAAACTTGGGGGACATTTCAATCCATATCAGCACATAACCAATAATTTTTAAGTAAAAATCTTCCCCGAGTACTGGAAGCTTTTTTGGTCCATGTTGCAGTTTGGTTGTCTGTGATGCAGACTCTGAGATGGAGTTTAGTGTTTTGGATGTTTATTGGGAGGTGCCCTTGGGATTGAGGGAAGGAGCAGGATTGGGCAGAGGGGGAAATTGAGTTGTAATGTTGGCCAGACAACCTTAGCCAAACCCACGGGAGCTCTGGAGCTAAAATGGCTCATAAGGGTTGTCCTGCCACGTGCCGATGGCCAGGCCTTTTTACCTCCTACTTTGGTCACTCATTGCATGTGAGCTGCCCCCAGGAGGGTTGACAGGTTGCCAACTAGCAACACTTCCAGCAGCTGGGGGACAAGTCCTTAAAGGGGAAACTGGGCAGCACATCTCCATGCTCATCACTGTCACAGCTCCAGAAGCAGATTATTGGGATGTACAGTAACCGACATTTAGGTCAAAATGACTGATGAAGTGGCTGTCCTCAACCTCTGGGCTGGAAAATAGAAGAGAAGATCTGTGTAGGGGAAATACCGTCATTATCCTTATTCTCTAAGGTCACAGTTTTCATCTAGGAAGCCATCTTAAGATCAGTCTTCAGACTTGGTAGCTCCTATGTAGTCTGTGATACCCTGAGCACCCCTCGTATACTACCCTGAATCACAGACAGGGTCTGGGGTGCACAGGGCCCCTGCTTAGAAAGGCCCAGCCCTTGGCTTAACGCCTTTTAGCTACCATCTTGAAATTCTGAATTTTTAAACAAAAGGCCCTGCTTTTTGCACTGGGCCCTGTTTTGCACTGGGCCCTGCTTTTTGCACTGGGCCCTGTTTTGCACTGGGCCCTGCTTTTTGCACTGGGCGCTGTAAATCATTTAGCCTGTGCTGAGTATAAGTATTTGTGGGTCTGTTTCCTCACTAGGTCATGCCCTATTCGTTTTTTAATCTAGATCTTCTAGCACAATGTCTGTCACATGGTGGGTGCTCAATAAA